CTCGCTCAGTCTGTCTGTTGCCAGATTGGTGGCTGGAGGATGTATGGAGACCTCAGTGTGGGCGTTTGCAGCTGGTGGCTAGCATGGTCAGTGGCTAGATCTGCTTTAGAGGGGAAGAGTCCATGCTGTTGGACAAGAAGGAAGACTGACTGACCTCCACAGGAGGCTGGTTGCAGAGTCTTCTCTGCGGTGGATAGTCTCTAGGGAGCAGGGTGAGACACATGAGCTTTGGGCTTATGTAGACCAGTCCACATTCCACTTCCCCACGTTTTCTTGTGTGTGTGGTGGTGGGTCAGGGGCTGGTGGTGTCTGCATATGTGCCTGCCTCTGCGGAGAGTACAGATCAACTTTGGGCATCTTTCTATCACTATCTCTATCACCCTCCACCTTATTTTTTCAGAGAGAGAAGGTCTCTCTCTGCACATTGACCTTGCCATTTGCCATTTCATGTAGTCTGGCTGACCAGCAAGGTCCCAGGACCACCGGTCTCTGCGCTGAGTGCTCAGAGGTGCTCACACCACACTGGTGGTTTCTGAATTCAGGTCCTCAGGCTTGTACATCAGGCTCTTGGGCTGCTAACATCTCTTCGGTCCTCCCTGGGTCTTCCTGTCCCGAATCGGTCAACCTTGTCTTTCAGACTGCTGGCCATCATCCAGGACCTGCACCAGCTTCTCAGGCTTCTTTGCGTCTCTGAGACTGCTCCTCCCTCCTTCAGAGACACGGGCCAGCTGCACAACTTAAGGTCTACCTAGAGGGAGGGTTCTCTTCACCTTTGTCCTTCAGGGTCAAACGTGGTGGGAGATGCAGGGCTGTGTGTCTACACCCCGTGAGCACTTGCACAGCACCCTGGATTATCCGTGACGCAGCTTGGCTCTCCCCTTTTCTTGATTACCGGTTGCAGGAAATCACCCATGAAGTTAAAGAAGGGGCCTTGGTGTAAGGCAGTAAATGACTTGGGGAGTCTGCCCACCTGTTCGCACAGTTTGTGTTTTCTGTACCCTTTGGGCCTAATCTCAAGTACCTCACTGGGTACTTCACATTTCACATCCATCCTGTACACACTGAGCTTCCGGCAGAAGCTTTACATTAGAAACCTGACCCCCGAAGGGAAAGTCAAGTGGGTGCTCGGGAGACTTCTCTCCCCACTTGGAGATAGCAAAGCAGAAGCAATCCAGACCCCAGGAAGTACTACGGACATCAGGGGCACCGTCAGAACTTAAAAGGCCAAGGTGTGCTGGGCCCCTGCAAGAGCCAAACAGACTGTGGCCTATGACAGCAGCTTGTCCTGAGCTTGGCCAGATGGTGGCATCCATAGCAGCTGCTAGGATAGATGCGGTGGATTTAACCGAAATAGATCAACACAGCCTTTGGCAGTGAGTGCAGTATGATCTGGCAAGCGGGGTCTCGGGGAAGGTTTCAAAAAGTGTACTTTCACACGGCAAAGATGGGAACGTGTTTTACTGTTTTGCCCTACAGCTACATGAACTCTTCGGTATTCCGCATCATGTAATGCCTAGGAACACACCTCTGTAATGCTTGTCCCTCCTCTATGTTGGTGACATCATACTGACAGGAGCCTGTGAGCAGAAAGTGATAGCTACCTCAGATACTGGGCCAAGGCACGGGGATGTGTGGACGTGTGGGAGATAAACTCCCTTCTCTGGTCCCGGGCTTCTCAGACAACAGCATCTGAGGCAGGTCTCCGGGGCCTCTGCTGTGTAGTGAGTGCCACCCTAGGGTGCAGGGGTGAAAGAAGAGGCCATGAGGCCAGGAAGGAGGAAGAGCCTTCCATCAGTGGCATTTGCTGTGCCTGACTCGGTGCTGTGAGGCTACATTCCCAAATGCCTTAAGAAGATCCTCAAAATGGGGCTGGAGGTGTAACTCAGGGGAAGGGTGCTTACCTGCTGCGTGCCAGACCCCAGGCGTATTCCCGGGGAGGGGGGGGAAGGGGGGGGGCAAGAGTGAGAACAAGGTAAAGAAGTTACTTTCTTGGAACACAGCATCTAGAAAAAAGAAAACGTGTTAGCCAGATCCCACTGGCTGAAAAACTGGAAGGGAGGGTTTAATTCTGTTGGGCTTGTAGACGGAACAGGCTGCAGGCCCAGAGAAAGCGTTCAGGTTACAGGATTAAGGGATGCCGGGGCTGTCCGGAGAATGATGGCCGCCATGCACATAAATGACAAAGGAGGCCACCTGGGCAGGGCCCCGGGTGCAGGCTTAGGAACCCTTGGCACACCTTCCCTCCTGATTTCTCTTGTCCCCCGAACTCTCGGCTTGTCAGATTTTCACATCCATCGTGGTGTGGCCTGCCCCACAGCAAGTTTCCTCAGCCTCCTTAGCACAGAAACAAGCAAGGTCTCGTCGGAATACAAGCTCCTCCCGGCAGCAGCTGTGTGCAACGGGCATGGGTTTCTCTTGATTATCCAAGAGGCGGCCCTCTCCTCTGACTATCTTAACAAGTTCACGTCTAGCCCCGGCTAGTGAAGTCCGCTTTTTCCGCTCATTAATCAGATACACAGGACAGGCTTTGGGTCTCTCCTGTGAGATACAAAAGGCAGACACATCGTACCCAAGTGCTGAAGAAAGTCCCGTTCAAAATGGCGTGCACTGATTCTTGGTAACCTCTTTCAAACAAGGCCTGGGATGCTTCTCCCAGGTTCCTGTGCCCTTCCAGCTCCAGGAGACGGTCTGAAGAATGCCCTTGGAAGCGGAGCCTTCTGGAACGTTTGGCTGGATTATAGGAAAATGGACAGCCTACTCGTTTAGTCAAGTTCTGGAGAATTTGGGACATTAAATCCCTGGTCCCCACATGTCCCAACCTTGCAGATTGGCCTGAACCGTGGTAAACAATTTAGACTAGCTTGAGAATGACATGATGCTTCCTTTTGGCTATTTCTACAACTTCGCATTGAATGGAAGGAAATCACTTAAGCCCTCGCAGCACTGTCTGGCAGGAGGTGGAATGCCTTGCTTGGCTTCCTGCTCCATCTGCCCCACACCCACAACTGAGACCGTCCCTCCCATTCAGCTCCTAGGCCTGAGATACCCCCTGTTCCCCCATCAATCTTAGGCCTAACTCCCACCTTCAGGCCAAATTTCAAAATAATAGTCTTCTCGTCTGTGACCATGGTCTGGCTTCTCAGGTGAAATAGACACAAATCAGCACTATCGGCAAGGGTCTATGTCCAGTCACCATGGGAGAGAAGATCTGCAGGGACCTTGGCCTTCAAATTCCAGGGAGCTGGATATTAGGCGCCTACTTAGAATCAACAAGTGTGTATGCAGGGCTTCGCTGAGGGAGTTGCAAATGAATCTGCTGCATTATCCATGTGCACTTTGGACCGATAAGTGGAAGCACGGACAAGTCCATCAGTTGAAAGGCAGGTATGCCTTCATCCTGCGGGCAGTACAGAACTGGCGCATGCCGGGTGGTTGTGTAACGCCCTCTTATCTGTGTAATTAAACTTTACCTGTGTATTGAATATGTGCTCTTCTCCATCTTCCTTTAAACACAGCCTTCTCTCTCCATAGATCTTTTGTCTGCCTGTTTGGAACAGGTTGGTGAGCTCAAAACCTAGTTCTGCTCTCTCATTAGCAAAGATGGGCTTCGAGTGTGGTACTAAGTGGGACTAGTCTTTGTCTTGGTGCTGGGAGAAACAGGACATGGTGGTGAATTGGAGAGTATTGCCTTAACGGATTCAATTCCAATTAAAACTTGATCTGGAGAATGTAGGCTTCATGTCATTGGGTTTACCTGAATTTTAAAATTCCATAAACCTGTTTTAAAGATCTCTCTCTCTCTCTCTCTCTCTCTCTCTCTCTCTCTCTCTCTCTCTCTCTCTCTCCTCTCTCCTCTCTCTCTTTCTCTCTCTCTCCCTTCTCTCTCTTTGTGTGTGTGTATGTGTGTAGGGGTGCCCACAGAGGCTAGAGGAGGGTGTTAAATCCGCAAGAGATACAGTTACAGGTGATTGTGGGCTACTCTGTGTGGGTGCCTGGTCCTCTTCAAGAGCAGCGCATGCTCTTAACCTCTGAGCCATCCCTCCAGCCTCCCCCCACCCCAATCTGGATGGCCAATTCTCCATGGTTAGTGATTTGTAATAACAGTTGTATTCATCGCAGAAGGCTCCAATAGGGAAGAGAGAGAGTTCACTTCCATAGACAGTGTGGACGGATGTCAAAGCCACCTAACGTGGGCAGTGTCCTTAGGATGCCCTATTTTCCTCACTAGTTCCACGGAGCCCATCGGGCTCTGGGGTTGCTTTGGCTCCTTGTGCCTTAGTCCCTTAAGAGTCTATGGTCCTGTCTGCCCCGGTCCTTCCCATCTGAGGATATAATCAGCGCAGTGGCAACAGCAGGGTAAATAGACATGCTGTGAGCACTGTCCTGCGCTGGCCACTCTGAGAAATCAGTGTAGTTTACTAACATCTAGACACTTCCTGAGAAGGGACGCGTCCTCACCCCTACTTTTCATGCAGCGCACTAGCAACTGCAAGGGTCCCTGGTGATAGTGTGTCCAAGAGCTCAGCTCCCAATTCCTGCCTTCTGTGGTCTGTCTTCTCCCCAGCAGGCGGGTGACACACCTGACTCTGTCCTCTGGTCAACGTTGAGACCTTGCCCCTTCCTCCTATATATTGGGTCTCCTGCCCTGTGTCGCTCACTGGGTGGATATCTTGGTAAATTGCTCGCCTTCTCTGGACCTCAGTTCCCCCATCACTAACTTGAGAACAGAAGGGAAGAGGTTAGATCAGGTTTCTGAGGGCTGCGCCCCTTGGTCAAGGTTTTGGGATTCCAAAATGTTCGGGACGCACAACACGTGGCCTTCAAAGTCCTAGCTCTGTGCATGACTTCCATCCCCACTGCCACTACTCTGGGGCATGCAAGCGGGATCCTGACTGGTGTGCTGGGTGTGGCACAGCAGCAGGGAGCGACTTCAGCTGTGTGGCTTTGGGACATGAGACTCAGTAGCCTGGTCTGTCATGTAAGGAAGCCCCAGCGATCCTAGCCGCCCGGGGTTGTGGGGCGCTGTGTCAGCACTCCGGGCTTTCTTTGCGGGTTACATAAGGCCCTGGAGTGGCGGGAAGAAGGGGGCGTGGGGAGGCTCGGCTGGGACCGGCGGCGAGGTGGGGCACCGCGCGTGGGGGAGCTCAGGGCGCGGCGGAGTCGGGTTTCAGTGCGCGGGTGACTCAGGCGCGGGCGGCAGCCGGGATCCTGCGGTCGCCGCCGAGCGCCGCCTTTGTTCCGCAGGAGAAGCCGAGTTGGGGTCCGGCGGCTGCACCATGGCACCCAGGTAGGACCCGCGCCCCGCGTCCCCGTGCCCCGGCCTCGCCTCCTGGCCTCTTCCTCACCTTCTCTGCCACCGTTTCTTTCAGGAGGACCGCGCAGGGCCAGCGCCCGCGGTGGCTGCTCTCCATCCTCTCCTCTGCGCTGCTCTCCGCTGTCCTGCAGACGCGCGCAGCGACAGGTAAGCCACCGCCGCCGGTTGCGCGCCCGGGCGCCTCGGAGCCTCATTCCTGGACATAAAAGGGAGTGCTTGCTTGGTGCTGCGCGCTGGCTATACTGCCCTGGGTCCTCCCGGGCCCCCCGGTTTCTAGGAGCCAGGGCGATCGCCTCAGTCAGGGTACACAGGGTGTCTGAGCTGGACGCGGCTCCCCTGTGAGGGCAGAGGGGCTTTGGCTGCACAGTGACACCACACTGCCAGAAAGGACAGTGTTCCAAAGAGCACCGGGCTTCCGCGCCGAGGTCCTGGCGCGCCCGGCTCAGTCCAGATGTCCACTAGGTTCATTGGAAGCACGGTCACTGGCAGGGACACCTTGGCGCCCTGGTCTCTCCTAACATAACGGAACAGAGTCGCTCGCGCGCTTGGTTCAGCCGAGTTACAAGTGGTCCCCATCCCTGAGAGGCAGAGGCGTGTGGGCAAGTGACCTTTCCTTCTGTTCTCTATGCCTCAGTTTCCCCCCACCAGGACTCAGAAATTGATGAGTTAAAGTGGAGTCAGGGTTAAAGTCTGACTGCCTGGGGGGTGAGTCGCACCTCTGTTGGGTGACCATGGGCAATACTTCTCGCTTCTTCACTTCTTCGTGCCTCAGTTTCCTCATCTGAAAAGGATAAACTAGACCCACTTACTTCCCAGGGATGTTGTAAAGTCTAATGGACAGATGAGAAAAAACGTTCTTTCCATGCTTCTGGGTACTTAGAAAATAAGAGACGGAAGAAACCTTCCTCTCCGCAGGAACTTGTGTGTTGGAAAGCACAGCAGCGGCAGCGGCAGGCGCAGGAAGTGCAGGCGGTTCCCAAAGCCAGAACTCAAACCCACTTGGGCAGGTTCCTGTCCGGGCTCAGCCTTTGTGCAGTGCACTTAGCAGAACCTGGCTTTTGGAAGAGCAGCCTCTCACCCCTTTAGATTTAGAGACCAGCACATAACCCAGTTGAAGAAGGGAAGGCTTGGAAGCATGTCATGGTCCCCTGATGGAGGCTGGGCTGGAATTGGTGGCCTTGTTTAACTCCTTAGGTACTTGAAGAAGCCTGGTACCACCCGGCTTGTGGTTGTGAGGGAGTAAGACACAGATGCAATGATAGCTCTCCCTGCCAGGGAATCCAGCCTGGCATTTCTTGCAGATCAAAGGGCAGTGGGAGCAGAGTTCTGGCTTCTCCCGAGAATGGTCAGTGTGGAAACCTTGCAATTTCCCATATGACACAGGGCTTTGCCAAGTCAACGGCCTGACAACGTTCAGTGCCCCTGTGGGATCTGAAGAGGGCTCCAGGAGCCCTGAGCTCTACAGATCTTGTATGCAGTTTACAGAGCTAACTCTCATCCAACCCTGCATCAGATGAGGTTTGAACAGGCTCCCATCTCAGTTTTTCTAGGGCCTGGGGACCGAGAACCGTAGTCCTCCTATTCTGAGAATTCCAAATCCAAACCACAGCTTTCTAAGTGTCTGGAGCAGGGTTTGATTCGGGTACCCTCACTCTAGAGACTTTGCTGTCCACCATCAAAGGAGTTTCCCAGAGACATCTTAAAGTTCCCCAGTCTCCTACTTAGTGCCTCTCCAAAGCTCTTGTGGCCTGCTGTGCTGGAGGGTCATCTCCATCATAACAGAGGAGGCCCAGAAGGGGCGTGCAGTTTGCCTAAAGCCATCCTGTTGTTCCAAGGTTATCAGTGATAACCTGCAAGTCTATGGGAGAGGCTCTTCCCATGGGGCCACTGCTCAGCTGGCTATTAGGAAAGGAAAAAGAAAGGAAGGAAGGAAGGAAGGAAGGAAGGAAGGAAGGAAGGAAGGAAGGAAGGAAGGAAGGAAGGAAGGAAGGAAAGAAGAAAAGAAAGCACGATAGAAAGAAAAAAGAAAGGAAGGAAGGAAGGAAGGAAGGAAGAAATTTATTTTTATTTTATTTATTTTTTGTTTGTTTTTGTTTTTTGAGACAGGGTTTCTCTGTGTAGCTTTGCGCCTTTCCTGGAACTCGCTTTGGAGACCAGGCTGGCCTCGAACTCACATAGATCCGCCTGGCTCTGCCTCCCGAGTGTTGGGATTAAAGGCATGCGCCATCACGGCCTGGCTTTATTTATTTATTATGTATACAGTGTTCTGTCTGCATGTATCCCTGCAGGCCAGAAGAGGGAGCCAGATCTCATTACAGACGGTTGTGAGCCACCATATGGGTGCTGGGAATTGAACTCAGGACCTCTGGAAGAACAGCCTGTGTTTTTAACTTTTGAGCCATTTCTCCAGCCCAGCTGGAAAAATTTATACTCTTGACCATGAAGCTAAATGTTTAAAGTGGTTTCATGTCCCCAATAGTTAAGTGGCTTCTTGAATACTAAATATTAATTATACCACTATCAAGTGAGTCTACTCCTTAAATGTCTACTCAAGTGAAAGAAAACCATATGGCCACTCAAAAACTTTCATGTGATCATTCATAACAGCACTATACATAATGACAGAGTATAGAAACAAACGGATTCATCAGCTGTTAAATAAATATATCATGGTATGTCCTTTCAATGGAATACTGTTTGACAATAAAAAGGGAGGACACACAGACCCACATGTGGTAAGTATAAGTGGCCAGAGAAGATCCTGCACGTTGTCAGAGCCCTGTGAAACAAACTTTCTAAAAAGGGAAAACTAGAGAGATGGAGGATATCTATAATTGCTTAGTGCCAGGGAAAGACGCAGGAGCGACTAAAATGGGCAGGTGGGGACTTGGTATGAACGATCCAAGACTGGACTGTGGTGGTTGCTGTGCTATCTGTTGATATAGTAACTGATCTAGCTGCCTTCAGCACGGGCTGCACACAGACCTCAACAAAGCTGTTTAGAAAAAGGGAAGAAGCACTTTGCAGGCATCTAGACTCAAGTAGGTGAGACTTCTGGTCTGGTTCCCAGCAAGTCTGGCAGAGAGTCCACACACGGCTGGCCACTTACAGGCTGCCAGCCCCACAGAGTGCTGCTGCCCCCGGAAGGCTGTTCTGAGTCCTGGCTGCTTCTCCAGGTCCCCAGCTCTACTGTTTATGCTGCACCTGGATGTCACCATAGGCAAAGCTCCTCTGATGGGGATGGAACACAGGTGCTAATAATCTGCAGATGGTGGATTTATTAAAAAGTAGATCTTTGTAAGCTCCCTAGTTGCCCCGCCCCCATCCAGTTTTGAGCATTGGAAAAGCCAGGCTTCGTCATGGACCCGTTCTCTCTGTAAGCTGACATGACTCACTTCTCCTTCTGAGCCTCAGTTTTCCCATCTATGAAATGGGATGGCAGGGTGTGCTCAGCTTTGTATTTTTAGTTTTGAACACTGAGAAACAAAATGGCATTTACCCAGCTTAAGACTTACTTCTGTTCAGCATACAGATTAAACCCTTAGTCAGCCAGGCCTCCTGCAGACTGGGGATAAAAAGGAGCCAGGCTCAGATCTCCCCCCAAGGGGTTCTGAATTCACAGTCAGAAAGAAAAGGCCACACCTCATCCCATATTTACCTCATCCTGAGGGCGGTCACCCTCCTCCATCACTGAAGTGTGACCATCATGGTCCCTCGTGTCTCGGAAGGGTCAGGGCTAGGCTGCAGGCTAGCACTGTGGGTTTCTGTCCTGGTGAAGCTAGCTCTGTTGGAATGGCTGCTGTTTCGGAGGGTGAGGGCTGTTGCTGGAGCAGGGATAGTGCTGCTGGACCTGTTGATAAAGTGCTGATGTGTGCAGGTTGTCGGCTTCTCGGTTTCTCGTGAGGTGACATCTCCATTCAGAAGAGTGCATCTCCAAAGTACAGTCCTGCAGACGGACATGCAGAGCAGGGAATGGAATGCCCAGGGCTTTGCTCTGCTCTGGTGGTGGTGGTGGTGGGGCTCCTCACCTCTCAGGGGTGATTGCCACCTGGACTTTTTAGCTGTCACCTCTGTTCACTTAGAAAAAGAACTTGACAGCCTAAACATACATCCTTACATCCTGGGCTCTGTCTTCCTTGACTCTGGGCCTTTTCCATGAAGAATGTACTTTTCCATTTCGAGTTCTTTCTCTGAATGTTAAGGTTCCGAGATTCATGCATGAGGCAAACAGTTTATTTTCACTGTAATATAATAGTCCACACTGCGACTATACTTACTGTGATTTATCCGTTTTTCTCCAACAGTGTGTGGGCTGTCATGGACCTGTGGAATCTGACAGTGTGGTGTGACTGTTCTCATGTGCATCTCAGGACACGTGTGTAGGCCTTTCCTTTAGTTTCCTACCTAGGTGTGGTGCTGGGTCACAGGGGTGCACATTCTCCAGATAAGCAGGTGCTGCTGGTGTGCTTTCTTCTGTGTTTGTACCAAAACACATGAGCATCAGGCCGTGAGAGTCCCCATTATAGCCTGGCCAACATCCAGCCTCATCACTGCCTTTCATGTCAACATTTCTAACAGCACCGGGTAGAATCTTAATGAAGCCTTAATTTATATTTCGTGTGTGTGTGTGTGTGTGTGTGTGTGTGTGTGTGTATCTCCCTATCTGTGACTGTGCTTGTCTGTGACACTCTGTGTGTGTATCTCCCTATTTGTGACTGTGTGTGTCTGTGACTGTGCATGTCTGTGACACTCTGTGTGTGTATCTCCCTGTCTGTGACTGTGTGTGTCTGTGACTGTGTGTGTCTGTGACTCTGTGTGTGTGTGTGTGTGTGTGTGTGTGTGTGTGCGCGCCCCCACATGCATGTGAGAGCTCCCATGCTGAGGTCAACCTTGGCTGTTCCTCTGGAGCCATCATCGTGTTTTTTAAGACAAGGTCTCTCACTTATTGGTGTAGACTGCTTGTCCAGCTAGCCCTAGGGATCTTCCTGCCTCCAGCTCCCCAGAACTGGTGTTACAAATGCACGCTGTGCTCAGTTTTTAACCTGGGTGCTGGGGATGGAACTCAGGTCCTCACGCTTGTGTGGCAGACCCTTTACTCAGGGATCTTCTCCCCAGTCCAAGTCAATCAACCTTGGATGTTTATGAAC